TTCGTATTAGCAGTAGTAGTGGTAGTAGTAGTGTAAGTAGTAGTAGTAGTAGTAGTAGTAGTAGTAGTAGTAGTAGTAGTAGTAGTAGTAGTAGTAGTAGTAGTAGTAGTAGTAGTAGTAGTAGTAGGTAGTAGGCTAGTATTAGTACTAGTAGCAGTAGTAGCAGTAGTAGAGTAGTAGTAGTAGTAGTAGTAGTAGTAGTAGTAGTAGTAGTAGTAGTCTTAGTAGTAGTAGTAGTAGTAGTAGTAGTAGTAGTAGTAGTAGTAGTAGTAGTAGTAGTAGTAGTAGTAGTAGTAGTAGTAGTAGTAGTAGTAGTAGTAGTAGTAGTAGTAGTAGTAGTAGTAGTAGTAGTAGTAGTAGTAATAGTAGTAGTAGTAGTATTAAATAATAATAATAATATTAATAATACTAATAATAATAACAATAATAATAATAAATAATAATAATAATTTTAATAATAATAATTTATAATAATAATAATAATAATAATAATAATAATAAAAATAATAATAATAATAATAATAATAAAATATAAATTAGTAACAGTTAGTAGTCAGTAGTAGTAGTAGTAGTAGTAGTAGTAGTAGTAGTAGTAGTAGTAGTAGTAGTAGTAGTAGTAGTAGTAGTAGTAGTAGTAGTAGTAGTAGTAGTAGTAGTCGTAAACATTAAACCCTACTCGGTCCTGGTCTTGGCTTGGCCGTCCAGCTGCGCCGTTGTCAGGCGTCGAGGATGGTTCTCGCCCCGCTCCTAGTGCTTTGGGCTTTAGGCTGAAGGGCTTTAAGGATGGACTACGCATTGGCATATTGCCTCGGAACCTGGGGGCCTGGCTGCTCGTACCGAAGAGCCTTGGAGCCTTGGAGCCTGTCAACGAAGAGCTTGCATCGCAAACCAGGCAACATTCCCTGTTCATTCCGGCAGCCGTGGAGCCCTGGAGCCCGGAACCCTTGCATTTCAACCACAGTTAGGCTTGGCCCGGAGCCAGAGGCCAAGGAGGTTGGAGCCTTGGAGCTTGGGAGCCTTGCTTCACATTTCGACCACAGTCAGGCTTGGCCCGGAGCCAGAGGTCAAGGAGGGTCACCATCTTCAGGTAGGGAGCTTGGAGCCTTGCTTTACATTTCGACCACAGCTAGGCGGCTTGGGGCTCCGCAAACGCCAAGAAGGGTCCCCCTTTTCATTTCGGTAGCCTTGGAGCCTTGGAGCATTGCTTACATTTCGACCACAGTTAGGCTTGGCCCGGAGCCAGAGGCCAAGGAGGGTCCCCCTTTTCATTTCTACATTTGGACCGGGAGCCAAAGGCAAGCAGGGTCCCACTTTCTGGAGCCTTGGAGCCTTTTGGCGCAAAGCCAGCTTGGAGCCTTGCCTTGCGAGCCTTGGAGCCTTGCTTGGCCCCCTTCATTTTGACCACAGTTAGGCTTGGCCCGGAGCCAGAGGCCAAGGAAGGTCCCCCTTTTCATTTCTTGGAGCCTTGGAGCCTGGGAGCCTTGCTTTACATTTGGACCGGTAGCCAAAGGCAAGCAGGGTCCCACTTTCTGGAGCCTTGGAGCTTTTTGGCGCAAAGCCAGCTTGGAGCCTTGCCTTGCGAGCCTTGGAGCCTTGCTTGGCACCCTTTCGTCATGTTGACCACAGTTAGGCTTGGCCCGGAGCCAGAGGCCAAGGAGGGTCCCCCTTTTCATTTCTTGGAGCCTTGCAGCCTGGGGGCCTTGCTTTAGAGCCAAAGGCAAGCAGGGTCCCACTTTCTGGAGCCTTGGAGCCAAAGCCAGCTTGGAGCCTTGCCTTGCGAGCCTTGGAGCCTTGCTTGGCCCCCTTCATTTTGACCACAGTTAGGCTTGGCCCGGAGCCAGAGGCCAAGGAGGGTCCCCCTTTCATTTTGACCACAGTTAGGCTTGGCCCGGAGCCAGAGGCCAAGGAGGGTCCCCCTTTCATTTTGACCACAGTTAGGCTTGGCACGGGGCCAGAGGCCAAGGAGGGTCCCCCTTTCATTTTGACCACAGTTAGGCTTGGCCCGGAGCCAGAGGCCACGGAGGGTCCCCCGTTGAAGAAAAAACATTTCGACCACAGTTAGGCTTGGCCGGGAGCCAGAGGCAGGGTCCCCCTTTTCATTTCACAGCCTTGGAGCCTTGGAGCCTGCATCTTGACTCTCTTTCGCTGAAAGAGGGTCTCATTCTAGTCAGGTTCTTCACTCAGCATGCCTGGTCGTACCGAGCTGTCTGCAGCGAGGCAGATTCAAGGCCAGAAGCAGTAGAACACAAACGTACATGAGGGCAGGGTGCTTTGAAACTAAACCTTGTGGCCTTGACGACGATGGGTCGATGTCGATGCGGTCCCTCGCAGCATCGAATCATCCTGGCGACAGCCAAGATCCGCTGTCAAATTAATTAAACTTGACTGTCCAACGCAGCACGGGTCCTGACAGCTTCCTTGGCGCTGCGGCCGTGGACCACGCTTGCCCATCTCCCTGCCTGCAAAGAACGACATGTGAACCAGGTTACATGTGGAATTTGGGTGCGTTCACATGACTCACGACACTGGCCTCTGCTTTTTCGGACAACCCCCGCGCTGAGAATTAAAATAATTGAATTAGGGATCCCAGCCAGTCTTGCGCCAGACCTTGGAGCCTGGGAACCTGGTAGCCGCGACACGCCCTGCAAACAGCTTGTCACGACGCACTTCACCACTTCGGCAAGATGCAACGCACGGCACTGTGCGGAATCGGTTACAACGAGGAAACTCACTGCATCTCACATTGCATGCAATCTTGCCCCCATGCTCGGATATGCTGCTAACTGAACACACGAAGGCTATGAAAGTCACACCCTACTAACTAACCCTGAAACCCTTTAACCGACTCTAAACACACGTTAAACCATACGAGCCATCATCAAATAAAAATGGAGGCTCAGTCGAGTCATTTCTGATTCAGACAGAGCTCCGGCCACCGCCGCTTTCCGGGGTCTGGAGCACAGCCGACCAACACAAACAGCCCCCATTTACCGGCTCGAAGCACCTTTGTGCAGCACGTGTGACTTGCAGCGGGGCAATTGGCTAAGTCGCTGCGTGTTTTCCACAGCTCGGGCCACTGCTTGCACCACGCTCTCAGTCCGGCCTCCCCCTTGGGCATGAAGGGATTCCCGGTCTCCACCTCAAACACCACGCAAGCATAGGCCCACATATCCACAGCTGCAGTCAGCAGCTGCTTTCTGACACCGCAGTCTCCATCGCCATTCACACGAGCGGGCCACAGCTCCGGAGGTCGATAGGCAGCCGTGACATACTGCAGGAACCTGGGAGCCTGAGAAGCCTTCTGGAGCCGTGCCATGTTCTCACTCATGCCGAAGTCGCACACCTGCACCTGATCTGTGCAAGGGCACCAAAGAACATTGCCAGGTTTCACATCCAAGTGTAGGATGCCTGCGTCATGCAAGGTCTGCAGTGCACTTCTCAGCTGAGCTGCCACAGACCACGTCCTCGGCTTGCCATGCGCCGCAGGATTTCGAAGTGCGGTTGCCAGGCTGGGCCCACATAGGCTAGTAGCCATCCATGGCCAAGGTCTGCCCGTGACACCCGAGCTGACAAGAAGCGGGAACCACATCATCTTCTGCTGCGGAACGGCCTTCATTAGAAGCTTCATCTGCTCCACTTCGTGCCTGCAATCCGCGGGGCCATCGGAGCCACGATAAACCTTCACCGCCACGTTAAGGCCGCTTTGCGGATGCTGGCAACTGTAGACACTGCCATAGGCTCCGCCTCCAATTGGAGCCCTTGCACCATTAAGCTCAAATGGGCCAACGCGACCGCCAGATTCGTCAGCGGCAGGGGGGTCCTTCGCCTCGTCGGGGCCGCCCGCACTGGTCGTGGAGCCCCGCATCCTGATGCCAAGAACGGCCAGTGCACTTCGCTGAGCCATGAACTCATCTTTGCTCCTCGCCATGAATGGTGCCTTCTGCTTGTCGGTCATGCCCTGCCAGACTGCGCCAAGATGCTTCATCTCATTGAGAAACTCGTGCTTGGGAGCGCCTTTCTTGACTTCGGAGTTTTCCTGGAACCAGATGACGAAGGCCCTTCGAGCCTTGGGGACCAAGCCGTCTTTCACAGCCTGCTTCCGCAAGCTCTGCGATTTGCTGCCACCATGCTGGCACCCCCGGGGCATCCGACGAGAAGCCGTCTTGAGACTGGTTTTGCCCCAGAGGCGTCTGGTAGGCCTCCATCGGCAGCCCATGTCGAACCCAAGCAGGGAACCTCAGAGCCTGGGAACCTGGGGCCATAACGGCTCGCTTTAATGCATTCAGGCGACTACAACAACATCCTCGGCGAGTCCTATTTCAATGTCATGCCACAATAAGAGCATTTCGGCTTTTTCAGGCGACAGTAGTCACTGCTACACACTACTGACAAAACTGAGCCCGGCAAAAGGTCAAGAGCCTGAGAACCTGGGAGCCTAGGTGCCTGAGCTGGTGCCTGAGCTGGCGGATTCGGTCGAAGTGAAACATCATCACTGCGGTTGATCGCGGGGGCTATCTGGCTCAGCAGGTGCCTCGTCCTGGTCGTCTTGGTTGGACAAGCTCTCCAGAACGTGCGGGAAATGCTTCTTCACCGCCTTGGCATTCTCGTCCGAGTAAAGAGTGGATCCCTCCAAAGCCATCATTCCGCAAGCTGCGCGATCAGCAACCGCCTGGACCCACGACATGTGCTCCTTGTTGAGGCCTCGGATAATTTAAATAAAATCAAATGACAATGATCTGACGAATCTACTGGACAAGTAAGGGTGCTGCAAAGCCCGTGGTATGCGATGCCGGCAGTCAAAGAAGCCTCCATCAGAGCACCGGTGCCAGCCGTGAGGTCAAACACTGCCTCCGCGCAAAACTCCTCAATGATGGCATTCCAATATGCTATCGGCTTCGACTCGTTCCAGAACAAGGGTACGTCGGAGCCGTGGCGATCCTGCCAGTCCTCTGGCGGTGTCGGGAGGTCGCCGGTTGTTGCCGGAGCAATGATCTTCTTCTTGGTGTCTGCAGACACGAGGGGCATTTCAGAAACCGCACGGTACTCCACGCCTGAGTAAGTGCCTTGGTACGTAGAAGCCTCGCCGCAGACTGTGAAGGAGCCTTTCTTCGTCGTCTGAATCTTGGTGCGTGCGACCGGGAACTTAACCGCTCCTGTCTCCACCTTCTTTGCAGCCAGCGGAACGCGGCGAGTGCGACCAGTTCTCGGCGGGCACCCACCTGAGTACACGATGGTGCACTCCTCGGTGTGCTGCTGGTTCAGCAGGAGGTCTTCCTTAAAGAACCAGGTGCAGCCTTTGAGCCTTGGAGCCTGGGAGCCTTGTCACATCACCCCGCCAAGACTCGGACACGCGGCGAATTTCCCGCATTCTGCCGTCGAAGAGTACAACGAAATCCTCGGGCCCAGAAATGTCTTTGGCAAAGGCACAGATCTCTTTCCATTCCTCGCTTGGCGGAGTGCCCTTGAGCCACGGGTCGGTACCAGCCTCTGCCAAGAGATCCGCACTGGCAACGATCAGGCGGTGCGAAGAGTTTAAGGTGCCCTTGTGCGTGAAGACCTTGCCGCAACCTCTGAACGCATTGACTAGGCAGTCCTTCGAGATCTTGTTCGGTACCGAGAACGACACGAACTTGCGGCGTTCCGTTTGCACCGCCTTCCACTGCCGCTCACGCTCGACACATTCCTCGGGTGTGTCAGCTTCAGAAGCCTTGGCCAGGCTTTGGAGCAAACTCGGAGCAGGAGCCGCAGATGTGGCACCAACGGACTTCGTGCTGTTGTCGAACTTGTCGACAATGATCTTCATCTGAGTGATAAGCGCACATGGCTCCTCGTGCTCCGTGTCATCCGAGCTTCCAAGCTGTGCAGCTGTCAATGCCTTTGCAAGGCCATCTTCACTCGAAGCCAGCATGCAGCAATCCTTGTAGTACTTCCCCGACATCAGCTCCAGCAGCAAATCCAAAAGCATGCCAATGGCTTTGTTGAAACCCTCTTTAACAGCTCCAATCTTGGACTGCGGAACAGGGCGCTCCACGTCCTCTGGGTCCTCGCCGTCCATGTCGTCCTCTCCAGCAGCCCCTTGATCAGCATCAGCATGGCAGAGATATTTCTCCCAACATGTGGAAGGGCAACGGAGTTCAGCCAAAATCCCTGTCAGCTTAACCTTGTCCGGCTCAGGCAACTTGTTCGCCAGCTTTGCTGCATAATCGAAGACCTCTGTCAGTGTTCAAGCTGCCGATGACTTGCAACACTCCGCAAAAAAAAAAATACACACGCTAGTCAGAATAGTTACAATGCCTGCACCACCAGCATGCGCGACAACCAAAAGCCAGCATCGCCTGTCTTCCGGTCTCGATCCAGAAACTTCTCGGTGCATTTAGCTGGCGTGACCATGTTCATGCGCAGGGCCAGCGTCAAGGAGTCGATCATCCAGGCCGTCAGGTCTACAGCGTTTCTGGTAGCAGATGCGAGCTTGTTGGTCAGCGATAACAGCTTGCTCAACTTCGAGTACTGACTGCTCAAGATGCCCCGCCCAAATTCCAGCTCCAATCTCCGGGCAGCCTTCTCCACGGGACCGGATGGACCCCGCAGCACTGCAACAGCTGCTGTGGCAGCCTGGTGTAAGGCCTTGTTGTACAAGGTGTTGTTGTACCTCAAGTTCTGTTCCTCACCATCCTGGACTTTTTCGACCTTGAGCAGCTGGACAGTCTTTGCAAATGTCCAAAAGGTGTCGGACAGGCCAGGGTGCCCGAGTGCCTTGACTTTCTCTGAAGCAAGATTGCGACTCTTCGCAATCTCCCCTGCGCTGGAACACAAGCGAACCTGTATCGTGACAGTGCAGCCACACTCCCACAAAATCTCCAAAACTGCTTTGTCCTGCCAAGTGCAAGCACACATCAGTCAGATGAATCAATAACATGTCATGTCATGTGAACACAAGCAGCAACTGTCCTGGGAGACTAGGGCTTTGAAGACGGCCAAGTACCAAGCCCACAACACAAACACGCCGCTAGCAAGATGCAACGAGCTGTTGAACTCTTCGTGAATCACGTCAGATGCTGACTCCGTGAGGACAATCATCTCACAAGGCCACGTCAGCCGGTTTCGTGACGTTTTTTGTTTCTTCTTGGCAGCTTCACGCGATACAACTGTGCTGAAAGCAACTTTCTTGGAGAAGAAAGCGTCTTCGAAAGTTTGGAGATCCTGCCAGCACACATCCTCAGACGCACTGGCAAAAGCTTCGGTGGCCAGCCACAGCGCGAGGCCACTGGCTTCGTAAAGTCCAGATGATGTCAGGGACGCTTGGCAGTCATCTTTGCTCCACACAGCCTGACAAACGACAACGGTCAAACAATAATAAATGACATTGATCGACATGCGCCCGCCTTGTATCCGGTCAAATCCCCCATCTTGGCTTCTGCGTTGATGGCAAGCGGCGGTGTCTTGAACATCTGCTTGGCCTGCGGAAACTTCAGAGGGAGCTGGCTGCGGACCTCGGGCAGGCACGGCATGCAGCACTGTTAGCCGCGAGACGGGACACGGTATCAAGAACTCAGCGAAGGGCCCATGGCACGATGTTTGCCAGGGCTTCTTGAGCACTGGCCTGCTTCACATGGCGTGCCACACATCATCATCACACACGTCATACTGCTCCGAAAATGCTGAGCTCAGAACGGTTGGGTCGGTGGGCAAATCCGGCACTTTTGCCATTGAGCGCGAGTACAGAAGCCTGGGAACCTGGGAGCCGAGTAGCCTTCCACGGAACCGTTTGGAGTCTTGCGGTGCAGCGCAAGGCAATAAGACTGCTGCAGTGCAGGACATGCTGCAAACAAACACAAACTGACGTCGACAGCGGTCCTTTGTAGTCGTGGGCCCTGCCACAGTTTGTCGACGAGCGGCTTGAGCTTTACATGTCCATTTAAATCAAGTTGGCAGCAAAGTAAGGAAGCATCAAAATCCTACTATGCTGCTGATGAGTCATCTAAACATGACGACACCAAGCCGGCGCCACATGGACCTTGGAGCCTGGGAGCCTAGGAGCCTGGGAGACGCCTCAGCTGGGCATCGAGGGCATCCTGGTCGCGGCGGAGCTGCTTGTTGGAGACGTCCACCTGTTCCTTCAAGCGCCGCCAGCTTGGAGCGCTGAGCCTCAAGGAGAATGTCTGAGTGCTTCCTGGGGTTGCTCATGCTCACGATGACCATCTCGATCCCGGACCTGCGTACCTTCAAGTTGCCGGTGCGGATCCGCTCTGCCAGGTCATTGCCCTTGAGCATCCAGAAGTACCCCATCGGATGGAGAACCGGCGGTGACTGGTTGATGACGCCCTCGCAGCTGAACTCGAGCATGTCCATGTCGAGCTGCTTGAGGGCAAAAAAACCCAACGTGGCCGCTGCGTGCGTGGACGAAGAACCCCTAGGCTCCGAATAGGCAATTTACTACTTTTGACTATAGGCAAGTTAATTTTTAACTATATAGTTAATTTTTGTTGAATTACCTATTACCTATAATAGTTAATTTTTAACTATTAAACTACGGTTAATTTGCATATTTCGTGTTGCGGGGCTTGTCCGGCAACGATCGACTGCAGCTTCTTGTGGCTTCGACAGCTTAGGGACGAGTGGACTTCGTAGAGCCGTGCCCTGCAGCCATGGCTCCGAAAGTCGAAGGCGGACGGCAGTTGCCACTGGCTTTCAGCTTAACCGTCGAGACCGGCTCGGTGCTAGACCCGCTTGCGGTTGCCCAGACGTTGCTAGAGGACTCCCAGAAGTCACAGGCGGAAGCCCCGCCCGACAGCCAGGTCGAGGACCCAACGGCCGAAGGGAAGGTCGGCGAGCCGGACGAGACGGAGACAGCGAAGCCCAAAGCGAAGGCCAAAGGAAAGCCCAAAGCCCAGGCAAAAGAAAAGGCCAAAGGCAAGGGCGAACCCAAGGCCAAAGCCAAGGCCGAACCCAAGGCCAAAGGCAAGGCCGAACCCAAGACCAAAGCCAAGGGCAAAGCAAAGGCCAAAGCAACGGCGGTCGACACGGAGCAAGAAAAGGCTGCAGCAGCGGCAGAGCCGCCAGAGGAGACCGAGGTTCCAGAGGCCCCGACAGAGAAGAAACGGAAGGCCACGGAAAAGCCGGCTGAGGAGCCTGACAACAAGAAGCCCGAAAAGAAGAAGCCCAGCGAAGTGCTACGAGAGCGAGCCACGGCCCTCGTTGCGGAGCTTCCAGAGGACGTTCCGCCGGCCAAGGCTGCTGGTGAGGAGTTGCAGACCCGTGACAGGCGTAAGGCTTGGTTCTTCGAGAAGAGTTTGCCAACTTTGTCGTCGGAGCTGCAGAACTTCTTCCGGAGCAAAGACGTCTCCCGGGTTTCTTGACATGATTGGTCTGCATAGTGGGTTTAGGGTTTATAGGGCTAAGATAAAAATCATAAGTTCATTTTTTCGTGTGTGGCCCTGATATAAGTCTCAGGCCGCGAAGACCAAGCTGATCAACGACGTCGTCAAGCCCGGGGCGACGACCAAGTGGGAGATCAACGAGAACCACCCCACAGTGCAGACCTTGACTTCTCACTACCGCTCCGTCTTGGGGAAGACGAAGCAGAAGTCTTACCCGAAGGCGATTATGGTGGGGAAGTGCGGATCAGAAACGGCCTTTCTGAAAGCCCTCCGCGAGGGAGACGTCGTCGAGATCACGGACAAGGGCCAGACCCAGTACATGTACAGGCAGCTGGAGGTTCAGCACCGGACCGCCGTCGTCCAGAAGACCGGCCTGCAGCAGGCCGCCGCCTGTGACCAGGAGAGCAAGGACAAGTTGGAGGCCTTCTGCGACAACTTCGACCCAGAGTTTGAAGTGGTGCCGCCGAGCTCGAGCAGTGTCACCCCGGCGGCTTTCGCAGTGCCAGGAACCCCGCCGCCCCCTTTGGCCATCCTTGACAGGCAGCCGGAGCCCGGCATGCTTCCTGAGCTGGACAAGAAATGCATCGAGAAGATCGATCAGGCCTTGACTTGGCTGATGCAGCTCAAGCAGGCGACATATCGGCTGAACAGCAGCACCTCGCAGACGTGGCAGAACCTGAAGCGCCAGTTGGACGAGAAGTGGGCTCAGCTGCTTCCCTTGCAGTCACAGCTTGAGACCTTCAAGCTTTCCAACAAGGGAAGCCTGGCTCAGCTGAAATCTGTGCTGACGGGTGCAGCAACCAAGCTTCTGGAGACCCAGGAGCTGCTGAAAGGTCTTGTTGCAGTCAGCTGAGCGGCTGAGCCCGGGATCTGTGCAGATCCAGACTTCATCTTTATCCGTTCTGCGGCCAAGGAGCCGGCAAGAAGCAAGTAACTTCAGCTAGAAGGTTTGTGTGCCTCGGGCGGGGAGCCTGGAGCTCGCAGCGACTGTGCAGCAACAAAGAACAACGATAGCTACAGGTCAGAAGCGGTAGAGATCATGCAGCATGTTTTGGTTTTAGAGGCCTTTTCCTTTGAAGCTGCACTCCATCCCCGTAGCCCTTTTCGGTTCAAGCCCCGGGGGATGCGGGATCAGCGGCCTCCGTGCAAGAGGCCGGCACGGGTTCAGAAACCTCTTAGTCATTATAGGAACAAAATCCGAAAGCAGCAAGCCAATCGAAAGAACATAAAAAAAAAATCCAGACCAGCTCCCAAGCGGGAGGCTGCTGGCGAGGACGGCTCCATCTCCAGACCAGCTCCCCAAGAGGGAGGCTGCTGGCGAGGACAGCTCTCCAGACCAGCTCCCTGCGGGAGGCTGCTGGCGACGACGGCTCTCCAGACCAGCTTTCGGGGAGGCTGCTGGCGAAGGTACGAAAGGCCTTCTCCAGACCAGCTCCCCGGAAGGCTGCTGGCGGGCTCGATGAACATAAACGCCCCCCCAAACCTTTCCCAAAGCCAAGCCCTCATCCCTAACTCTGCACCTGTCAGGCCGGCGGGTCCTTGGACACTGGTGGCTGCGATGCCGGGGCCGCGGACCGAGGCTCGTAGCTCCTCTGGGGAGGAGTCCGAGAAGGACTGCCCGACCCGAGAAGAGGCGGAGGCTGCAAAGGCGGCTGCAAAAGCCTCGCCAGGGCCGCCGGAGAGGACGGAAATAGCCGAAGGACTGCTGCAGAGCACGGCAGCAGAAGGGCCACCTGCCCCTGCGGAGGACGAAGAGGAAAAGCAAAAGAAGGAAAAGAGGAGGGCTGCCAGAAAGGAAAAAAAAAAGGCCGCCAAAGCTCGCGAGAAGGACTACGAGAAAAAAGTCAGAGACTTGAAGGACAGGGAGCAGGCTGTGAGGAAGAGGGAGCAGGAGCTCCGCGACCGTGCACGAACCCCAAGCGAGGAGAGCTCCAGCCGCCGCAGCGACAGCAGACGACGATCTCGAGATCCCCGCAAGCGGCCGGAGAGGCGAGCTGCTAGCCCCTCTCAGAGCAGCAGGGCCACTCCGAAGCCGGAGGTCCGCTTGACAGCCGCCGCCACCTGGTGCTGGTGCCCACGGGTTGGCGAACACATGTGCCGCAAGTGGGTTCAGTCCCGATGGGCCCTGGTTCAGCATCTGAGATCCAAGCACGGACTCTCAGAGGAAGCGTCCGTGCAAGAGGCTGATGCGGCCTGGGAAAAGGAGCTCCAGCAAATGGAGCGATCCCGCTCTCCTCGCTCACCTCCAGATCTGAGGAGGCCTGCTTCGCCAAAGGGGCTGCCACCACAGGAGCGGGCACGGCGGTCCCAGTCTGTGGAGTTCGTGGAGCCGCCCAAACCAAGCACGGCAGCTGCACCGAGCACGGCAGCTGCACCGATGGCAGCTCAGGCCAAAGCCTCGGCACAGGGCTCGGCACTCGAGGTGCTGTCCGTCATGTTCCGTGTGGCGGACCGGGTCTTGGAGAGGGAGCACCCCTAAGACCGTACGGAGCAGGCTCCGGAGGGCGCCAGATTCCTATGGCACTACAGTAGGCTGTAGGACACGAGCACCAAAACTGGTGGAACTCCGTAGCAGCCGGCACCGGCACTCATGCACTGTGGCGACCCGGAAAAAAGCAGCGTGTTCAGGTTTTGGGGTTTAGGGTAGTGTTAAGGTTTTGGGGTTTAGGGTAGGGTTAAGGTTTTGGGGTTTAGGGTAGGGTTTAGGGTTTTAGGGCAGGGCCTACCCGTCTAAAACCCTGCACCCCTTCAGCCTTAAACCCGAAAGCCCCAACCCTACACCCTAAAGCCTTGCACCCCTACCTTCAACCCGAAAGCTAGGCCCTGCAGCTCCGAGGCCCTCGACCCTGAAGCCTAAACCTGCAACCCTCCAGTAGCAAACTTCGAGCCGCGGCTCGGGCCGAGGCAGGCCCAGGCCCGGAAATTTTCTAGTCGAGGCAGGCCCGGGGCCGTGCCCGGCCTTGAAATTTTTTGGGCCCGGCTCCGCCCGGCCTGGAGCCGGCTCCGCCGGCAGCGGTAATTTAGCGGTAATTTCGACGAAATTACCATTCATAATGCGGTAGTTTCGCGGTAATTACTACTAAACTACCAGTAGTTTCGTGGTAGTTTCGACTCTGGTAGCGGTAGTTTCGTGGTAATTTCGATTCCCTCAGCGGTAGTTTCGCGGTAATTTCCACTGCAGACTGGTAGTTTCCATGCTGTACTACTACTGTACTACTACTACTGTACTAGTACTACTGTGCTACTAATGTACTTCTACTGTACTACTACTGTACTACTACTGTACTACTACTGTACTACTACTACTACTACTACTACTACTACTACTACTACTACTACTACTACTACACTACTACTACTACTACTACTACTACTACTACTACTACTACTACTACTACTACTACTACTACTACTACTACTACTACTACTACTACTACTACTACTACTACTACTACTACTACTACTACTACTACTACTACTACTACTACTACTACTACTACTACTACTACTACTACTACTACTACTACTACTACTACTACTACTACTACTACTACTACTACTACTACTACTAACTACTACTTTTTACTACTACTACTACTACTACTACTACTACTACTACTACTACTACTACTACTACTACTACTACTACTACTACTACTACTACTACTACTACTACTACTACTACTGCTACTACTACTACTACTACTACTACTACTACTACTACTACTATTACTACACTACTACTACTGTACTACTGTAGCATTACTCTATGGGCAGCGGTAGTTTCATGGTACTTTCGATTCTGGCAGCGGTAGTTTCATGGTAATTTCGATTCTGGCAGCGGTAGTTTCGTGGTAATTTCGATTCTGGTAGCGGTAGTTTAGCGGTAGTTTCGTGGTAATTTCGATTCTGGTAGCGGTAGTTTAGCGGTAGTTTCGTGGTAATTTCGATTCGGGTAGCGGTAGTTTAGCGGTAGTTTCGTGGTAATTTCGATTCCCCTCAGCGGTAGTTTCGCGGTAATTTCGACTAAACTACCATAGGGTTTGGTGCTCGGGCCGAACATTTCTCGGCTCCAGGGTAGTCGGCCACAGCCCGTCCGAGCTCCAGCCTCCAGTGGCCTCCAGCCTCGGCCATGCCCATCAAGAGGCCGGCAGCATCCGGCTCTGCAAAAACTCCAGCCTCGGCCGTGGCCATGAAGAGGCCGGCGGCATCCGAATCTGAAAAGACGGCGAGCAAGAAGCCTGCGAAGGCTCCAGGCCCAGCGACTGCGAAGACAGCAGCCGAAGAGACACCGGAGAAGCGTGTCAAGTTTCGAAGGCTCGAAGCCAAAGAAAGCTTGTCACTGTCCCTGGAGTCGGAGAGACCAGCCGAGAAGACACCGGAAAAGTGGCAGGGGCTGCTAAGGCTCCGAGCGGACTTTTCGCCGGGGCTGAGAGTGGACTTCTCGCCGGCGGGCTCAGATGCCACAACCAAGGTGCTTGGCTGCTTCTCTCAGGTTTCTGATGAGGCAGAGTAGGATCAAAAGCTGCAACTGTGAAGAGCAGCAGGAGGTCAGCGGTGAACGGCTGAGAAAAAGCAGCGGCACTGCCACACCCAGGCACGGATTGTTGTAAACCTCGTGTCCTCCAAATTCCAAACGATGGCAGCCGTTTCGGCTCAATCTGTATGTTTGCGGCATTTGTAATAGGACTGCAGTGAAGCTTTCAATGGTTAGTAATGGTATAGTAACCAAGCCTCCTCCTGGCCATGGTAGAAGCACTCCGTTCAGGTTCCAAACAAGGAGTTAGACAACGAGCGGCTGCAAGGGATGCTGCTGCCAAGAAACCATCCAGCCTGGCAGAGCACTTGTACAACCAGCAGTGTTGGGGTCAGCTGAGCTTGGCCCAAGTGAGGGACATAGCGGTTCGGGCTTGCGACGACTTCGCAGCTGCCGGGGCCGCTCCGCCTCCAGACCTTCAGATGCTGGGGCAGCTGGGGGAAAACAGAACAGAGACCCACAATCTTTGGCGCGATTTGCAGCGAAGGACGGTGAAACCCTTTCTTCAGCCTTGCTGGGAGAACATCCCCCTGAGCATGGGGGAGCGACAGCTGCCTTTCTTCAAGCCACATTACATCTTCGAGACCCTTAGAGATCAGAGACCTCAAACCTTTGCGGCCTCTATCTGTCCGGGAGAGGAGTCTGTGGCACGGTTTTGGCGGGAATGCGGAGACCATCCTGCCCTACGGCAGCACCCCGTCAGAGCCTTGCCTAACTTTGACAAGAGGGCAGTTCCCGTGGTCCTGCACGGCGACGGCGTGCCGATCACGGCAATAGGAGCTTCGCAGAAGAGCTGCTGCTTCATCAGCTGGCGGTCTTTGCTCTGCCGCTGGACGGCGACCCGAAAGCAGCACTACCTGATCTGTCCGGTGTGGTCTGATCACCTGGCCAAGACGAGGCAAGACAACACGGTCGATGCCATCTGGAAACAGATCTGCGACTCCTTCGATGGAATGCTGGCAAGCGCTGCCAGACATCGAAGCTACTTCGCAGTGCCTGTGTTCTGCACAGGCGACTTGGAGTGGTACAACCTCACCCACGGGTTACCAAGATGGAACTCATTGCGACCATGCGGTTTGTGCAGCGTGCAGCGAAAGGATATGTTCCAATTCCTTCGTGTCGACAACATCGAGGAAGATGCCTGGGTCATCCCTCGGCAGCACTCGTGCCGACTGCTGATCAGAACCCTGTCGCCCAAATCGGTGGTGCCAGATCTGATGCATACAAAACATCTGGGTGTGGATCAAAGGATATGTGGATCCGTGATTTGGCTTTTGGTCGCGGAGATTCTACCGGGCAGCTTCGACGATAATAGG